AAGTCCAACCCCACCCCGGGTATTGTAGTCAATATGCCCAATGGCACCGATGTATACCACGGAGTGCCCAAGGATTATACTGGTAAAAATCACACAGTCGCGGTAAGTTTATTTTTAATTAATTGTATAAACTAAAAACAACTAGGTCATTAAATGTCAATTAAATAAATAACTATATTTTGAAAAATTTACAGAACTTTTTCGGTGCCCTTAAAGGGGACCCCGAGTTGGCTAAAGCGGGTCATAAGGTAGTCAATAGTACTCCAAATGACCATATATTCATCTACTTTATTGACCATGGTGCGCCAGGCTTTGTAGTGTTTCCCAATGAGGAAATGCATAATACTGAGCTTGTTGCTACTTTAAAAAACATGCATACCAATAATAGGTTTGGCAAGTTGGTTTTCTATTTAGAGGCTTGCGAATCAGGTACGTGTGGACCTAGTTAAANACCATGGTGCGCCAGGCTTTGTAGTGTTTCCCAATGAGGAAATGCATAATACTGAGCTTGTTGCTACTTTAAAAAACATGCATACCAATAATAGGTTTGGCAAGTTGGTTTTCTATTTAGAGGCTTGCGAATCAGGTACGTGTGGACCTAGTTAAATTAAATAAGATTCTACCATATTCATTCAAACTTAATTTAAAATTAGGCTCAATGTTTGAGAAATTGTTACCTGATAATATCAACGTGTACGCTATGACCTCGACAAATTCCACTGAATTAGGCTGGAATTGCTGTAGGGATACTGTTCGTGGTGCCTGGGTCAGTAAGTACCTTTCCAACTATATACTACATAAATATCAAATATTTTTAGAAAGGTATTTATGTAAATTATTTGCACTAGGTTCGTACTTTGGTTACTATTGGTACAAAAATTGGCAAAGCTCAGATTTCTTAACAGAGACTCTGCAGGATCAATTTGAGTACCTTCATAATACTACTAACCAAACAGGGGTAATGGAGCCGGGTCAACACGCTCAGCATGCTCACCAGTGGGGTGATCTGTCTATTACCAAGCTACCTGTTTCACAATTTCAAGGTATAAAGATAATTTATCATATGAAGTAATTAAATAAATTATTTTATGTTCAAATAAAGGCACTGGGAAGTTTATCGGTGAAAATAGCTATAATGCTGATGATCACAGGGTTTGCAATCTAGTTAATACCCGGGACCTACCCGTCCGTATGTTGGAAATGAATATTGAGGAGACCGATGATATCAATGAGAAATTACGGTAAGTTTTGAACATTTTAAAAAAATAATATAAATTTAATTAATTATTTTTAAAACACTAGTTATGAGAACGAATTGAAACAATTACTGAATGGCCGTAAATATATGGACAAACATATGGCTCAATACGTGTCTAGTATTCAACATTTGCCGGGAATTGATGTCAATTCAGTGCTCAATACTAAGCATACGATTGACAACAATGTTTGCTATCGGAAAATGGTGGACACGTTTAGGGATAATTGTTTCAATATAAACAAGGTGATAAAATTTATTTATTGTGAATTTATAAAAAAAATAACATATTATATTATTTTTAAGAATACTTATGCTCTGGGCAAAATGACTATCTTGGTCAATATCTGCAATCAACTAAGCGGTAGTCCGTATGAGTCTGTGGCGATCGAGCAGCTAGCACAATATTGTCAACATAACGTGCACCAGTATCCTATTGAAATTAAATAAATAAATAATGCAACTATGTCATAATACAGTATTTTCTGACTTTAAAAACTTTAAATAAAAAAGATTAAAAATTTTATTTAAATACTTATGTAATTGTATTTTTTTTGTATTAACTAACTAACAATAAAAGTTACAAATACGGTATGAACAATATATTCAAACTAAATACTGCACTAAAATTATAATTTGAAATATCATGTTTGAAAATTGTAAATCATTTAATAAGTTTAAAAGTCAACTTTTCAAGTACCATTAATATTTTCTGTATTTTACCTTACTCACTTCACTCATCTACCAGTGCATTGGGTTCTCATAAAAGTTGGACATAAATGTACAGTACATTTGGTCCAACACCTGATTTGTTGAAATTATAAATCTATTGAATCCTTATAATAGTAAAAATGAGTCAACAATCAGGTGTTGGGCTAAATGTACTGTACATTTATGTCCAACTATTAGGAGAACCCAAAGCACCGGGAGGTATACAAAAAGATTAACCTAATTAATTGATTAGATTAATATTAATAAATTGTATGGATTACCGCATTTTTGCAGATTACCAAATGTTCTTGAAATACCCTGTTGCAAAAAACATTGAATTATAAATAATTATTTCAGGGCTATTATATATTTTTATTATTATAATCAATTGTGTCAGTTCACTATCTATTTAATTATCAATTAGAGTATGATTTAAAAATTTATTTCTTACTAGTATATAAAGAACCTTTTTCACTTTACATTTTAGTAAAGTTTGTTTTAAAAACACAAATAAAAATCATCAAAATGAATTACCTATGTGTAATTTTAGTTACACTAACTCTCGGTGCATATACAGCATTGGGGGCCAATTTGGACGAAATAACGAGCCTCCCGGGGCTCTCGCAACCCATTAAATTCAAGCAATACTCGGGTTATTTGAATGCATCCAAAGGTAGGCATCATTTCTATTGGTTCGTCGAGAGCGAGACGGACCCCGAGAACGCACCGGTAGTCCTATGGCTGACGGGTGGGCCCGGCTGTAGCTCCCTATTCGCTATGATGACAGAGAACGGGCCCTTCAGTGCCAATGAGGACGGGGTGACACTCTCTAGTCGTGAACACGCGTGGAATACAGTGGCGAATATGGTGTTCATGGAGTCCCCGGTGTCGACCGGTTATACAATTAATTAAAAATAAACTTACCGCGACTGTGTGATTTTTACCAGTATAATCCTTGGGCACTCCGTGGTATACATCGGTGCCATTGGGCATATTGACTACAATACCCGGGGTGGGGTTGGACTTGTAATTAGCAATATCATCGTAATGAAAAACAATTATGTTCTCCTTGGGTACACCCCTTTCAATAGCTATTTGGTAAGCGTGATAGATGTTAGCCTAGTAAATATCAAAATTAGTTTTATTTAATACGTGTTAAGTTCAAGGTGAAATATTGTTATAATTATTACAGTAAAATAAAAATATACATACTTGAAAACCATAGTCACCCCAACCATGACTACCTGCCACTAATACTACCCATGCTTTACCACCATTATCAGGGTACTGTGGCTCAAATACTAAGGCACTGGTACCTAGGACCAGTAGGGAGAAAATACATAAATTATTCATTATGCTATTTATAATGTTACACTAATAATAAAGTTGCACTAAAATGTTCTGGTTTATATAAGTATTATAATCTTAATTAATACTTACAATGGGTCTTTATTAAATATAATTATCACATTTCTTTGTAAGTGTTTTTAAAAATATATTTGAGTTGCATAACCTGGCTGAAAGATATTTGAAATGAGAGTTTAACCACCAGTGTGATAATCGACTTATAAAATTAAGTTTATAAAATATCATGTGTTCACCATATGGTTTATTAATGAAAAATGTAGGTGTTTAGTTATCTATTTACTTCACTAAAATGTAATATAACGTAAGTATCTGATTTTTATAATTCAACTATATTATTTAAAATAATCATTTGAAAATTATTTGAAAACTTAAAAACATTAATGTAAAAAGTATAAAAATAATAATTTATGTATTTTTATACACTTATAGTTATAATTAAATAATTTTATTATATATAATTATATTTAAATAATAACAACATATTAATCACATAATTAAGAAATAATTAAATTATTTAAATTAACATTATATTATATTTTTACAAAAATAGTTTATATTAATATTATTAAAAATAGTATTTGAATAAATATAAAACATATTATCAAGCAAACAATTAAAATTACAAAATTTTTATTCTCATTTTGAATTGACGACAATAATTTTACTTGTTGTTTTCTTACATCACCGAGCTCATTAATAAGTTTATCATGTTTCGTATTATATTTATCAAAGTTGTGTATATTTTCATAATGATTTTGATTGATTAATTGTATTATTTGATCAAGCTTATCTGTAACATGATCATAATCAACAGGTTCAGGTGCCCAGTTATTAATAGTCTCAATTAAATCATTAACTGAACTAGATGAGCTTTTTGATAGCACTTCAGATTCACAAAATGAGGTAGTTACATTATTTAAATTATTAAATTCATCACCCGGTGATTTTGATTCATTAAATTCAACATGTTTTAATTTAGCCTGCTCGCAATCATTTATATAATTTCTATTTGCATCTAATAAATTAGTTGAGCTTGCTTTATTATTATCAGAATTTATTAAATTTATTAATTCAAACGCACTTGATGAATTAATTATTGAAGTGTCAAGGTCATTATCACATTTATTATTTGAATTGTATTCCACAGTATTACAACTTAATGAACGATACCTTTTTATAATAAGATTTTTATCCTGGTTACTTGGAGACTTATTATTAGTTATTAATTTATTAAAAAATAGGCCATGCTTGAATAGATAATTATCCACTTTATTTATTATATCACTCATTTTATAATTTAATTAGTTATTTGAAATGAAAATATAAATAATTAATATTATACTAGTACAGTAAATTGCTTGTTAAAACAATGTTATTAATTATTAAGATATTATTTTGTTAAACATATACTAGTAAAAAAATAATATAAAACAAATATACTTTATTAATAATTATTAAACAATTTATATTTTTTAAAATAAAAAAATTTATAAAAACTGTTTAGTGCAAATATTGTGATAATTTTATCATATGATAATATATTAATGTATTTTTCATTACTAAATGAATGCCTTGTTTATTTCACATAAATAAAGTTTAATATCAATTTATTAAATGACATTTACATGATTGATAATATCTACTTTCATAATATTTTTTAACTATATACAGAGTAAAATAAATTATTGTGTATCTGTACTGCACGTCTAATATTATAAAAAATAACAATTTTACTTTAATCTAAAAATTTCATGCAAGGTTAATTATATATATAATTAAATATATTTAGTTAAAGTTATACTAAAAATTATCATTTTTATTATAACTTTTTCAAAAAAAATAAAACTTCAAAAATATAATTATACTAAATGTTTACAAAATAAGCATACTTAAGTACATTAACATATTTCCCAAAATATTAATTATTTATAATGTATAATTACTATTTACTTATAGTAACTATAATATAATTTAAATATCATTAAAAATATAAACAAATAAATGAACATAATGACAAAAATGTGAATTTTCAATTGTTTTTGCCCTTGGTGCTTAATAATTTCTAAATAATTACGATGCTGTTTATTAAGAATCATAATTATTTCATCTAGTTTATTTTTAAAAACTGGTCATCATCAGGTTTTGGATCCCAGTTATTGATGATCTCAATTAAATTGACAACTGAGCTTATTGAATTTTCTGAGGGATCACCTCGTTCATTTCCAATTATTTTGAACTTTATAAATACTTTATTTATTTTCTACATAGTAAATGATTTATTTTATTATATACCGTAATAGATAAAAACATAAAGCTTAATATCAATTTATTTTATTGCATTTACATGACATAATATCTGTATAAAAAAAACTAAAATTTCATAAAGTTTATAAACTTTATATATAATATGAATAGACATTTAATTTTATGAAAAACTAGTAAACCTTATCATAAGAAGTACGGTAGCATGCTGTGTAGTGGTTAATAAATTAAATAAAGTTAGCGACAATAATTAAATAAGATACCATTTTTATTTTTATTTTGTCCAGTAAAGTTAATTAAGCTACAAAAAATAAAAGCATAATTATTCTATACAAACTACATAACTCTAATTACCAATTACATTAACCTATTAGCCAACTTAATGGATTATCTATTTACAGTGGTTTATTGAATGTACCCTATTTACCAAAATTATATTGGACCACTACTATGTGGTATGCTTATGTCACTTAATTAACGGTAAGCAGTTTGTGTGGTTATGTCTAAGGTTATTTATTATAGTATTATTTTCCAGTTTGTGTACTCAATATAATTGAATTCTCTCTCTCTCTCTCTCTCTCCCTCCCTCTCTCCCCCTCTCTCTCCTCTCTCT